GAAAAAGTTTAGATATCATTGATTCTCTAATTCCATTAAAATCTAATGTTATTGGGATATGAATTCTACACATTTTTATTCATAAAACTCAACTTTCAAAATACCTTAGATATCTATGAGATTCTTGAAATCTATCTGACAAAAAAAAACCACACAAAAACACAAATCACATACCATGTCTATTAACATTAAAAAAAAACGTCATCAACGATTTCATAATCCTCCCAATTATTCTTATTAAACACTAGTTTTTATAATTCTTGAAACAGAAAAGCTAATATCAAAAAGTATAACCCAACACCCAGAATAATTTGGAACATCGATTAACCCAATAACCAAAAACATTTTAAAAAATTATACACTTTCATTCTTTTCACAAATCGTTGCTTCAAGCTATACATCATCATCGTTGAGTTCCAGTAATGAAGTTATAAACCAATTGGTCGTGTTGATATATATGCTCTCATTAAATTCTGTTTTTTTGGGAAATTCTCAATAATCACATATACAATATTACCTTATAAAGAGAATTTTAGAAGAAAAGAAAAAAAATATTAAATCAATAATAATCATGGACAATTAATAAGAATCCATAACAATCCATAAAAATATTTGATAAGAATTTTTGAAACTCCACTAGAATTTGTAAAATCTCTCAACTTTTAAAATTTATAAAATCTATGCAAATCCATCCCCCAAAAAATTAGATTCTATATTACTCATTATCTAAGATAAAATAAACTAAAATTTAGTAATTAATTATTGAGATTCCAATTTTACCTTTAATATTGTTATGTTTAATTCTCATTATTATCTCATTTAATACATTTTGTTCTTATCAACTTTTTCATATCTAACATAAAATATTATTTTTTTTTATATTATTAGAAAAAACAAAAACCAACATCATAAATGTATAGATTTGTTATATTAGTATTAGTTATATATTTATATACGTAGTTACCTATGTATCTAAATATATTTATCTAGATTTTTCATTTTTATATATATACTTAATTTTTTTTTACAAATAGTCAACTATACTTGTTATATTTATGAATAGTTCATTATTATCTATTTTTGTTTTTGTGTGTGTAAATGGTAAATAGTTAGATATATAACTAACTATTTTAAATATAACTACTTATATACATTTATGTGTAATTAACTATATACCATAACAATCAATAAGAATCCATAACAATCCATAAAAATATTTGATAAGAATTCTTGAAACTCCACTAGAATTTGTAAAATCTCTCAACTTTTAAAATTTCTAAAATCTATGCAAATCCATTCCCCAAAAAATTGGATTCTATATTACTC